CTGGAAGACCATATTACTTCAGTGTGAACAATTAGGCAACTGTCTGTTTGATTGAAGAATATTTGGGCTATTTCTTTCGAGCCTTGCTGATCTTCTTATTCCTTACAAACCTGTTCACCACTTGAGATTTTCAGTTCTTATGGATCACATGGAAGCTTTTGCTCTGTGGGATCTATTATCCTCATCAAAACCTGTTTAAATCTCTTGGCTTTTTTCCAAGTGAGAATATTTTCTACCTTCTATTTTGCTAACCCTTCTATTTTGGATTTGATTTACTTTTTGAAATAGTTCACTTTAACCATCTCTCAGGATTTAGATTCACTGTAAAATACTAAATATTACTTTTTCTTCTTTTGCCTCAAAGGTCCAGTATGTAAGATTTAGGTGAAAGGGATCTATTGGCAGAAATTTAATGTAGAATAATCCTCATGATGTTTTCACTCATTCGTTTCATCTAAATTGTATGACTTGTAGTTTTCTTACCCCAGAAAAGGCCCTTTATATTTAAATACTTTATATTTACATCGAGGGGGTCCTCTCTACGGAGGCCGCCATCTTTTTTACATTAGTCCAGACTGGACAAACTAAACACCTATTGAGTTTTTATGACCACTGAAGCTACCACAGGTTATTTTTCATGTTTGGAAGGGGAGGGTGAGGTGAGGGGTGTTCACACTGTACAGGTCTATATATTTCCATTTTGAAGAATTTAAAACTACAAAACATGAAAACCTCAAACAAGATGAACATTGAGCAGAGTATCAGGTGAAGCAGTTACCAGGTGAAGGACGTCACTGCTCATCTTGACCAGGAAGCCCTGCAGAGCCCCAGAGTAGGTCTGCAGGATCTCCAGCTGGTGACCTCTCCTGGACGCTTTGGCTGTCAGCCTCCTGATGGTCCTCTGGAGGTGAGACTCGTGCGTCCTGAGACGCAGCATGACCAGGTACTGACCGGGTATGCGCCATGCTGCCTGGATTACAGCAGAGAGAACAGTAGGTGCAGGTGCTCTGTTTGCATTGCATGTACATTAAAGAACTGGTGCATTTGTTTGAGACCAGCAGGACTCTGAGCTGCTCAGATCAGGGACTATTGGCTGCTCCTCGCTGCAGATTAAAGACCAGAGGAGACTCCAACTCTTTCTATTCCATTCAATGTAGACTTTTTTTAAAGCGGCTTAAACTCTTTATCTTTGTGTTTGCAGCACTCTGCTACTTTCGTTCTAATCAATACATGTATTAATAATAATAATGACTGGCATAATCAATGTGTTTTAACCACTTATCTTAAAGCAGCTGTTCAATGTGCAAACTTTATTTCCCTCCATTATTGCTGCTCATTTGACAGCCTATAACTAGAGGCTGCTTTCCTGTTCTATTCCTTCCATGATGACACCAACACATGTGAGAAACATTGTTGTTGCATATCTGTACTGACAGCATAACCTGTTCCATGTGGTGTCTCAGTCCATTTGTAGAAGAAATGTTTCTCCAGGCATTGAACCTATATAGGGAGAATTGCGGACACAATGCAAAACTGTGGAAACGAGGAGTCTGCTCTGTTCTGACATCACTGATCAATGGAGTGATTTGTTTTTGTGTGTACTTCACATATTCTTTATGAAACTCACAATGAGATCTATGTTGGAGAAAGTGTGTGTGTGTATGTGTGTGGATTTGTGTGTGTGTGTGCAAGTGTGTGATCCTCCAGAGACACTAAGTGCTTTTTAACCAAGGCAGGTAACAGGGAGCCTTGAGAGCTCTGGCCTGTAATTGGATGAAGATGGAGGAGCAGAGAGGCAGGAGGATTTAGGAGGGTGAAGATCTGGTGAAGGACTGCAGGGCAAGATGAACTGCAACCAATCAGCAATAAATTAATCCTTTGTCTTTCTCCCTCCCTCCCTCTGCGTGGATTCATCCATCTCCCCTGTTGCATCTCTTTATCTGCATCTAACCTCCCTCTATCATGCCCATCTCTGCTGTTCTCTCCCTTTTTCTCCTTATCATTCCTCTCCATCCCCCCCTTGGATCCCTCACTGTGTACAGGCGTGGTTGACAGAGATCCATGAGTACGCTCAGCAGGACGTGGTCGTCATGCTGCTGGGCAACAAGGTGAGACTTTGCAGCTCCAGGAGAAGGATGGACAGATGGACTCCTAGGAGGGAGGGTTTATGGAGGGAGGTATGCTGGGAAGTCAGGTTATAAGGACAGATGGACTGTTTAGCTGTAACCTTTTCTTTGAATGGTTGAAGAATCATGTTTGTAAAATAACAGGTATTNAAGGTCAATGGGTTTTCTCTTCAACATGACCTTATTTCTCTGGATCAACCATTTGGCAAAGATTATCACATTTATCCAACATCTTTTAAAAGGCTCTACAGCATCTAGATCCTATAAATATAATTATAGAGTCATTAGTAAAGAGCTGGATCTGTACAATGAAGAGGTGACGATTTTAAACTTTACTTACACATTTAAAGTTAGAAGTGTGGTGCATGTGCAGAGGATGCGGCTCAGCGCCTCTCACGCACTTCTTACCTTGTTGCACCTGAGGAGCTCGGCGGGGGGCTCGGCTGCGGGTCCAGGCTGAGTCTCGTCCCCGCGGGTCAGATCCAGCTCCTCGTCCTCGGTGAGGTCCGGCGCGCTCACGGCCAAAGATGCGCACAAACAGAGCGCCCAGCCAATCCACGTCCAGGCGGAGGTGCGCCGCATTTTCCTCACACCTCCAGTCAAATGATCGGGGAAACTATGAAATCTCACAATTTCACCTAATGAGAGCTTTTAATTTCAGACTGATGTGTCCAGATGTTTTGATGCCCCGCGCGTCCTCTGCGTCTCGCGGCCAGAAAAACCCTCCAGCATCTATTCTGATGTTTAGGAAGAAAAAAAAAACACATGGAACAATTGATTGTTATAATTCAAGGCGGAGACTGGTGACGTCCTCGGGGCTCACGCCACCGCTTTTGTATCGAATGATTCTCCTCCGTTAAAAACACCTCTTACTGCGGAGGAGTCATGTTTCATGCTCCCCCCCAGACCTGCCTGTGATCATTGCATGTCAGTCTGAGAAAACACCTCCTCTGCTCATGTGTTAAAAAGTGCACTTAATGAGAACAAGGTGAGTTCCATGCAAGTGCAAGGATATTCCTGCGCAAATGCTGCGTGGCTGTGCGCACTGAGGATGACCAGGGATCTTATGTGTGTTGATTATGTGTCTATAATGAATTTTTAATTGAATCTCTCCTATTTGAAATCAACAGAGAGCCACTCCTCAACTAGATCTTATAGAAAAAATATATAATATAATATAGCACTTTTCAAAAACAGCCTGTGCTTTACAAAGAAGACAAACAAAACACACAAAAGCAAAACATGAAATACATGAAGCAAGATAAAACAATATCAGTTCAAGTCAAAGACAGCAGATAGAATTATACATCTGAAAGGATAAAAGTAAAAGAAACAATCCAGTGAAAGCCAATCGGTACATGCAGAGTGGCTCTATTGTGCGGGGCTGCTGCACAATCAAAGGAAAAAGGGTTCTTGCCCCAGGTGCATGGTTCAAAAGGGTTGTATCGTCTCCTAATTAACCAGAAGTGCTCTCAGTAGAGCACAGTCCTCCACCCTTTAATTAAAACAAGCCTTATAGCTAAGGCCACATTTTGTTTCTCAGCTATTGGTAGTATCATTACATGTTTCTTGTCCTGTTTGATACAATACAGCAGCTGAAAAAGAAAAGTAAAAACAGCGCCCTGATCTGGCTCTGCACCAACATGGACTTGTACTGCATCTTTTCTTTTTTTGCATAATCCTGTTGACAAACCAAGTACAATCTCCCTCCCCCTTTAACAGCTAGGTGCACTCACACTTTGGTTGTTTGCTATAAGGTAATCATAACAAATCCAGACATATCTGTTTGAGAGAGAACCCGTCTCTGCAGAGGAAACGCATCTGTGTGTGACATGCACTATGCATGTTGTGCACTCCTCTATGTAGTTGTTTATTACTATCTTGATCATATTTTCTTAAGATAACAGTGGAATAATATGCCAATCACTTTAGACCAGGTTTTCATTGGTCAAAAGCACAAGAGCTTTCATTTGCCTCAAGATAGCAATGCATCATCATGGGAGCTCAGATGTGCATATGTGCATTTGCTGTAAAAACAAAGTTCGGTTGTTTCAGGTGTAGTGCTGTGTTGTGTTTTCCCAGTGGAGGAGAGTTGTCCATGTGAATGACCCACCACCTGTGAAACCTCAGACAGGAATTTTCTGAAAGCTCCAAGTTCACAGGTTGTGACGTGTTTGCTGATCATTTCAGGAACAGGATAACAATCGTGACAATTTATGGCAATTTTTAAACAGCATTTTTCCCTCTGCCATATTCCATGTCGGCAACATTGTCACCAGGAGTTTACAGGGTGCATTTGAAGGCAGCACATAAGATAATTGTTGGAGTGTCTCTATAATAACATAATAGGGCCCTCATGTCCCTCAAGTGTGTGTGTGAGTGTGTGTGTGCGTGCGTGGGTGTGTGCGTGCGTGCTTGCATGCGATGGAGAGTCACTCACTGTCCCTCTGGTTCCTTTCTCTCATATAGTAAATGTTGCCATCTTCTGGAACTACTGTGCAATTTAATCTGCATCCTCCTCGACTAACATCATACATTTCATCTTGTTGCTTCACAGCTCTGCTTGGATTTCACTGTGCTGAATGATGCACATAAAGAGTTTGTCATGTGCTGAAGAGGAAGTTGTCTGACTTCACTTCAAATCTGAACTTAAGAGACATTTTCATGAGTGAGATCACAATAGTTTGGAGCCAATTTAGTCCAATTATGGAACATAAACAAGTTTTATCAAAATACCATTCTTCCATCATCTATACCAGCTGACATTGTGCATGAGGCAGGGTACACCCTACAGGTTGCTGGTCCATCACAAGACTTCAAAATACCACCCAAGACAAATTGTTTTTAAAGCAGAGTATTTTTATGTCGAGGGAATAGGGCACGTCACAACGACACGAAGCGGTACAAAACAGTTCATATAGAATCACTTCTTTCTATAATTTGTACAAATTTAAACGGCACTTAGTGTGAGTGATCTCATCATTCAACAGCGGACTCTCATCTCTGTGCAGACTTCAGTGTGGTGCCCTGCAGGGCCTCAGACCAGGTGCAGTGTGGGACAGCTCTGACACTGGCTCATCAGTCTGCTGCTGTTCGAACCTGGTAGAGCATCAGCATGTCTAAAATTAAATCAAAAGAAGGGGGGCAGGGGGAGAGATGAAAACAGAAGTCTGGCTCCAGCAGTTTGTCCTAATTTTGGTACTTTTAAATTGGAGGCAGGGTTTTGCTGATCATGCACGTCTTTATCTGGCTGCTGAGCGGTCATGAGATTCTAAACACTCACAGGAGGAGGAGCTGCTTGGTTCAGACCTCTCTTTCAACCACTGGTCGCAACAATAACTGGGGGAAATATGGAGTGGAACTAAGCTGAGTGAAATGATTTATGTAGGAAAAATAAACCAAGAATAGTTTGAGGATGTTGTGTTGACCTTTATCTCACTAAAATCATGTGTGACAAATGTGGTGGGGGCATTTTTAGGCATCTGAATCAAAGAAACATGAATGGTCCTTGTTAGGGTGGGGGTGGGTGGGTATTACTTATTCACTGTCTCTGTCTTTATATTCCAAAGTAAGAAAGCCAGTGTCCTGATCGCCCCCTGGTGGCTGGCTGCAGATGGGTCATGGAATTAACAAAAAATTCAATGTAGGTGTCAACTAGATTTTTCTCAAAGATGGTTTCTGTCATTTTAGGTCATTTTATCACGCTTTTTTAGTGAAATGTGATTATTGACAGATAAACTGACTCACGATTGGTCAAACATGTGAAACAGCAGGACTTTGATTCTATGGCTCCACACCATGACGATGCACAGACTCTGTCTCTAATCTACAGCACAAGATGGCGGAGTTTGAATCAGGGATATTTTGGCTTCATTTCGTGGGAGGAGATTCGTGGTCCATCTTCATAGTCAGTCTATGGATTTAACCATCGGGACAATATTGCTTCTTTTTATTCTATTCCTCTTCTTCACTCTATTCACCTCCCTCCTCTGCTCTGTCATTACATCACCACTCATTCTCCTGTAAATTCTACAGCTGAGTATCAACAGTGTATTAGTACAGACCCCCACTCCAGACACATTACCCTGCTGCTGTCACCATATCCGCTCGCTAGATGATGGCTGAGCTACACCACAGACAGACCACATGACGATTGAAAATTTAATGAACACCCACTTGTCTGCGGGCCATTAGTTTGTGAATGTGCAACAGTACCTTTGGTCTGTTGCTTCAGCTGAAGTACAAACTAGATCCTCTGGATTTTTCTCCTGATTCTGAGCAGCCAAAGTGACCTGATAAACACACTCTCCATTAACAAATCAATTCTTGCTGGCTTGACAGCATTCACACAATTAATGCTTTTCTAACAGTGTGCAATCTACCTTGGGATAGCATTGGCACAGGCTCCACGTAGTCCCGACACACACCATGGTGACGCCCAGGACGCACATTGTGGCATAGACCTGCAGTCGCTCCTGAGTCATGATGAAGAGGCCGACCGCCACCACACACAGGCCTGCCACTATCAGCCCGTACCGATACGGTTTCCCCTCTACCATCCCTGCAAGCACCTGCTGGCTGAAGCTACAGTGAGAAAAGATGTGGTGTTGTTGTGTCAGGACTTGAAGGTGGAGGGCGGAGAAAGTGCAGCCAGGTTCCACTCTGCTGCTTATTACAGCCTGCAGACAGCTGGGTCAGGTCAGGTATAAAATTGCAGGTAGGTGTGTTTACCTTAAAGGTCACCTTGCCTCGAGCTGCAGGGAAAAAGGAGACTCGCAACTCAGCTTCTGCACAGCACTGAGTTAGTGTTTGTTCGGTTTGGGATTATTTTTTAAATAAGATGGCGTTTCCCTTCCCCACATCGCTTCTCCCTTAAATATAAACAACCCATCCAATCCACCATCCTTATTTCTAAGGGCAACACCACCCAAAGAGAGCTCCAGTCATTATCTCAAGTTTATAGAACATCACAACACTTAACAGTGGACATACTGGTAACAAAGCAGAGAGATAAATAAAACTGTACTGTTAACATTCTGCTGTCACTGGTTAAGGCACTTTGCGTTGGAGTAAGCTGTCAATGAATCTTGCGCAGCGTTATGACAGGAAAGAGTGCAGATACGAAGAGGAGCCTTTGAGTTAAGAGCTTGTGTTAGAAGAGGAGTGCTATGCAGCCACAGTAGTAGATCACATAAGTTCAAGCAGGCAAAAACCAATCATAATTAGGTGTCTACAGGAGGCTCAGAGCCAATCTGTGGACAAGCCTCTCTTGAGTTTGTGAAAGCTACATGATGCTGGTCAGAAGACGGACCCTTAGCGCAGAGTGAAGCTGTAGTGATCATTTCAACTCTTTTCACTAACAATCACAGAAACACACATGTAGTTGACATGGAGGCCACACTGTGGTTCAATTTGTACGTCTTTAACCAGCTGCAGTCTCTTCTTGCTCCGTGGCTTGTGCTTGGGATCAGCGTGGCTGTTTTAAGGCACAAGAGGCCCGTTGCAGCGAGTTCACCGATAGCACCGAGTGTTGGTTAAAGGTTCTCACTGAGAAGACAGAAGGCACTGGCACAAGGTAAAGATGTCCGACCAGAGGTTACAGCTGCTCGCTTTGCTCCTGGCTTTTCATCACTGTGTCGTAGGACGGAGGCGGCTCCATGGTCCAGGGTGGTGGGGTGGATGGGAGGGAGGGTTCAGGCTCCGGTCTATGTCTGACAGAGTCCGCTGACATCTCCCGACGAATCCGATCCAACCTCCTGATGAGAGAAGGAAAGGGAAGCAAAGAGAAGTTACGAACCTCCAACCAACTTCAACTGACGGTAAAGATCATTTCATCACCTACTTTTAAACTGACAATCAGCTCCCCTCGGTGATGTGTTTACACTTCAACACATTTCAGTCATTAGTCTACTTTACCCCTAAACCTTCACTAACACCTCAGCCAATAATCAGTTTATTACAATATCTGACCTGTAAGTTAGAACTCAAATGTTCAACTCATTTCAGCTACCACACTTTAACTTACTTCATATCCTTTCATCTCTTTTCACCTAAACTGATTACAGACTCCTTTTTGTGATGAAATTTCATCTAATACTTCAACTCTTTTCAATTTTTACACTTTATTAACCACACTTAAGCTTATAACTCATTAAGACTGTGGGAGACCCAGGGACACACACATCCTCATCTCTTTCTTAATTTTGTTCACTATGTAAACATTTGAAGTCAAGTCATACATGGCCTCTGTTTGTTCTTCTCTTTAACCCACCCCCCCACACTTTTTCTTACATACCCACTACACCCCCCCCTCAAAAAAAAGTTTTACTTCCAAACCTGTTGTTTATTCGTTCAGTGATTCAAACTTATTTCCAATGGAAAATTGAAATAGTTGACTAATCACAACAAAGCAGACAGGATAAAAAATAGAGACACCATCTTCCTACCTAGCTAGCTACCAATCTACTTTTATGAGAAATAGAAGAGAAGAAATTATGACAAGTGTTTACTGTTTTTAACACTGGCACATCCTTAAAAGTCCACATTCAGAAATAACTACATAGATATTAATTTTTTCCACCTGAAAATCAACTTCTCTTAGCAACTGATTGATGCAGTGATATGTGAATATAGTGAAGAACAATTAAATGGATGGAACCAGGCTGCTTCCACTTCGGCTCACATTGGTGCTTCCTTATTTCTTTCCTCCATCCTTCCTGCATTTTAAAACACTTATCGGACAATCTCCCTTCAGCTGCTCCTTCTTTCACAAATACCGCTGAAGGTGCATTCTCCAGTTTGCATGTTTTATTTTCCCAGTGGGGATTTTATTTCATCATTCTAATGCCTAAAAAACAAACATTTAAATGGTTTGTCCACTTTCTGAGTCTCAACTTTAAAAGATAGCTTCGTGTTGAAAGTACTGTCAGCTCAGTGTGTGGAGGTAGAAAGGCCCGTGATGGAAACAGTGCTCCTGGCAGCTCTCTCCCACAGGCCGGAACAATGAGCAGAGCGCGTCTTGTCGAAATTCGCAGGCTATCGCAGATCGCCTAAGACAATGCCAGGGGGAGTCTGTCAGCCACATGCACATGTCTGCGGTTTTCTCCATGACCTACTTCTATAATCAGACCATAATCACAGAATCTGCTGCTCTCCGATTCTTAGTGTCACAGTGTTTTCAAGTTGCTGGAGCCTTTTCTCTGTTCTTTGTCAAACTTGGCTTTCAGCCCAGCACATGACAGTGTGTCCTAGAGATCTGTTCAACAACAACAGTGTTTGTCAGTTCTGCACCCAGGATGGTGAGCTCTGTAATTTGTCTGTATGTGTGTCTATTTATCTTTAAAAACACAGGTGAAGCTGGAAGTTACTCACTTTGAATGTTAAAATAACAACTGTATATATATTGGACAAGACTGCCCAAAAGCAAACCCAAAGCATCTTACTGTAATTGCCCCCTGGTGGCTGGCTGAAGTATAGGTCATATACCCCACCTTATTTGCTATTGACATTTTATCTTCCTGATGTATGTCTAACTACAGTTTAGTTTTAATTAGTTGCTCAAAGTTATATAAATGGGGTGAACTGTCAGGATTAAAAGCAAAGACTGACTGATTTTGATGACACTGATACTGCAGCTCCATCCCCGGATTGGTACAACACAGTCAATGTGAGAAGGCAGTCTAACCCTAACCCTCTGATCCAAAATTAGTTTGATAACCATGAAAAATATTTTAAAAGTCTGCTGTCTGAAGCAAAAACCTTTTCCAAATGTTTTCATGCCCCCTCTTGTGATGAATTGTAATACCTTAATTTCATATCTAGCATCAACACTTTAACTTTAACTTCCAACTTTGGTTTTACCACCAAATCCCTTTAAAACTTTAAATTACTTATTACTTACTTTTTTATTGTTTCCTTTTCGTAGCTTTTTACACGTTTCCAACTGTTTGTCTTTTATACCCCACCACGCACCTTTCTGTCTCTCTGATTATCCTGTGACTTCACTGAGGGCCACTGACCCTAGGTTGAGGACCTCTGTCATCCCACACACGTTTTAAATATAGTAATCATTCATTAAACGTCTTATGAGATCACGCATCTAAAGCCCTGCCAATAGTCTAATGTAACACAGTGAACACTGAGTGGACCACCTCTGTATGGCCAGAGCCTGCGGAGGGCTGAAGCGTGTGCCTGTGCGGGGGTGAAGGAGGAAGTGTCCGGGCACCGCCACCTGGATGTTCTTCATGGCCATGCAGAGCATACTGACCAGCAGGCCCAGACCCCCCAGACCCAGGAAGACCCCGACCACGAAGAACGGGGCTGACTGAAAGGGCAGAGCCACGCCCAGGACCAAGACCCCCCCGGCAGTCATGAGAAAAACGCCCAGAAACAGCAGCATCCCCTTGGGGTGCGGCATCTCCTCCGGCTGCACCTACACCTCAGCGGCGGTCTGCGGGGGAGAGAGGAGCGAGACACAGCATCCAGGAGGAGGGAGGAGGTGAGATGGAGGAACAGATGTGACTCCTGGACGAATGCAACATGTTTACAGACATCTGTACCTGAGAGGAAGTGAGGAGCTGATCAGAGGAAAACTTCTTCATCTCTCTTCTCGTTCCCATCAACTTGAGCTCCCGTCGCGATGCTGCTTCCTGGAGGAGATGAAGGAGTAGAAACTCCGGGGAGCAGGGACAGCCTCACACCCTGATCGCTGCCGCCGCCTCCCCTCGCTCATGATCCGCCGCCCCGCCGCCGCGTCGTCCGCGCTGATTCTTCTTCGTCGGTTTTTTTGTATTTTTTTAAGGGCGGTTGGCAGCCAGTGTAATCGGTGCATTACCGCCACCTTCTGCTCCGGAGTGTGGACCAGAGAATATACCAATGAATTCAGTCCGTATGGAAGTGTATTACATTCACTGAGAGAAAAACAAAAAAACAAGAACTCTGTTCTTCTCAATTAAAGGGATAGTTCACCAAAAGGAAAATGTACTTATTATCCACTCACCACTATGCTGATGGAGCGGCGGATGAAGTGTTTGAGTCCAGAAAACACTTCTGGAGTTTCAGGGGGAAACAGTTGAATCCAATACAGTTGAAGTAAATAGCAACCAATTTGTCACATATTCATATATTCTTCATGAGATGCCTCCATACTGCTCCTGTGGTGTCATCCAAGTGTCTGGAAGCCATTGAAGCCATTGAACTTTGACTTGAAACAGCGTCATTTGCACCATGTTTTTAGCCTAAATGTCATCTGATATTCTACTGCTGCAGTTTCTGTGAGAACTTATGAGTATTGTGATAGCTGCAGTGACTAGGAGAAGGAAAACAGTGGACATTCAGGCATTAAGGCTTTTTATTTAATTGTATTATTAAAAATTAGGGTACCATGAGTCCAAATTGAACCAGATTCCAGACTGCACTGCCCTGAGCCGTGAACAATACACTAACTGTGACGCTGATAAGCTGAATGGTTTGTAGGATATGTACTCCACATACAGAGAGACAGTCAAATGTTTTAGTAAGTAGGTAGGTGAACAGGAGAAGCAGTTCAATGACTGACTGAAGTCTTCACAAATCTGTTTTCACAAACCCACATGATGTCCTCACTTTCTGAGGGCCTCAGATGTTCTTTAGCCTCTTTGACTCGCAAGATTTGTGGAAAGAATATAAAAGTTGTATAAAGTTTATGATCTGTGTTGAACGTCAGGAATGGGTTGATTTGGTGTGTGAAACA